TTTATTTATTTATTTTTAACGACCACATTACATACAATAAAAGTATATTTGAAGTCACTGTTACATTAAATGATCATTGTTAGAATTCAACAGTTGAAATAATCACTTACGCTATAAAAACATTTATCCAATAAAAAGTTTTTACTTAACCTACGAAATTTATTAAAACTTAAACTAGTAACATTAACACCATTAAAACATTTCACGAAGTGGTTATATAATTCAATATTTAATTTATTAATCTGAGTAGTACGGATCCTAGAAAACGATAAAATCAAATTTTCCGCATTTCTGGTATTATAAGAATGTACGTCTGAATGTTTTGAAAATTTATCTAGTTCACGGTGTATCTGCAGCAGAGACTGGAAAATATATATACTTGGTAGAGGCATAATACAAAATTTTTTAAACAGTGGTAAGCAAGGGGTTCCATAAGGGGCACCATCGATAAAACGGACCGCTGCCTTTTGTAAAACGAATATCTTACTCGCAGCGTTTGAGTTGCCCCATAACGTAATACCATATGTTAAGTGACTGTGAACAATTGCAAAATATACCGTTCGTAATACATTACTTGAGAGGAAACGTCCCAACTGCCTCAGACAGAATATTTGAGATGACAACTTTGAGCTAAGGTGATGTACGTGAGATGACCATTCCAATCTACTATCAAGTGTTATACCAAGAACTTTGCAATCAGATTTATGAAGGCATTTGTCGGTGCTAAATGTAATATTTTGGGTTTTGGACTCATTGAGTTTTAATTTGTTTGAACAAAACCAATTTTTAGCAAGTTGTAGACTGCCCAAACTTAAGTCGTTACCTTTTGTAATTAGCGTAGTGTCATCTGCAAATATAAAACAGGAGGCGTCCCCCACACAGTAAGGCAAGTCATTTATATATAAAAGAAACAAAATGGGTCCCAGGACAGAACCCTGGGGAACACCATTTTGAACGGGGAGCAAGCTAGAGTCATAACCATTTAAACATACATACTGTTGCCTGTTGGTCAGGTAGGAAGTAAGTAATTCAAGCATACCATCTCTGATCCCGTAATATTCCAACTTAAGTAACAAAATGTCTACGTTAACACAATCAAAAGCTTTTGAGAGGTCACACATCGAAGCATTCGATTGGACACCCTCATCAAAACCCTGTACTATAGCATCAATCATTGCCAATAATGCTTTAAGAGTAGATCTACCATTTCTGAAACCAAATTGGGAATCCGAGAAAATATGCTTACTTTCACAGTAACTAACTAATCTATGTTTTATGATTAACTCAAAAAGTTTACTAATAACAGGTACAGTAGCTATAGGCCTAAAGTTATCTGGACAATTCCTGTCGCCTTTTTTATGCAAGGGGAGGATTTTAGAAATTTTAAATGACTCCGGCCATACTCCTTCGTTGACACATTTATTAAATAGTACGGTCAGGGGTTCAATTAACGATTCCAGAGATGCCTTAATCATAAAACTATTTAAACAATAGTAGTCTAGACTAGCTGAATCTTTTAAATTAGATATTGCATCCTTTACTTCACGGTCAGTGATAGAAAGCATAAAAAAAGAAAAAGGCGGTTTTGGAGCCTTAGATAAAAAATGTCTTGGATCAATAACAGTATCATCAATTGATTGAAGAATTAAGTTGCAAATATTAGAAAAATACACATTGAAATCATCAGAAGATATAACATTTGAACTAAGAACTGATCTATCAGTTTTTCTTTCATTATTTACTATGTTCCATATTGTTTTAACTTTATTATTAGAATTACAAATATCATTACAGTAAGTATTACGTTTTTCATATTTTAAAGCTTTTTTATATGTTTTTCTGATATCACAGTATGTCGTCCAAGTATCAACCGATTTTTCATTGTCAAAAACAGCCCTAGCATGATATAATTCACGACGCAACTCACGGAGTCTGTCATTGAACCATCTGATTCCCTTCGACCTAGTTTGTACAGATTTCAAAGGGAAAACAGTATCTGCAATATTACATAAAGTGTCTAAAATAATATTAGCGCTATCAGAACAGTTATAATTAAAAATGTTATGGTCCCATTTTATTTCACCCACCTTTCTCGCAAATACATAAATATTATTTCTAGAGATAATTCTAGTTTTACCAGAAGTATTGCTAGTGCTTTCCGTACCTGTATGAACGTTAACGAAAATTCCAAGATGATCTGCCAAATGGGGGTTACATGTACCAAAAGTTAATCTATCGGATTCAAAATTTGTCATAATATTGTCCAAACAGGAACTGCTACCCGCAACAATTCTAGTAGGTTCCTTAATTAGGTATGAAATTCCAAACATAGATAAAGTATTACATATATCTCTGCTATGCATAGTACTGGCATCAAGGTCCAAGTTTATATCTCCCAGTATTATTATATGTCTATATTTGCATAACAAACAATCTATAAGTTTTTCAAAGCAGCGTTTAAACAAAATTCTATTGCCTGACGTAGATGATCTGTATAGACTTACGATTACAGTATTTTTATTGACAATCTCCGCAGCACAAAACTCTGCATGAACATGAAGCATGAAGAGAGGCAAAAGTCTGCAACATTTACAGATTTAAGAAAAACATTGGAATTGGAAAAAATTGCCACTCCACCATGTTGGTTCTTATTAGGACGACAATAACAGGAGATTAGTTCATAATTTTTTATGTTGATATTTGATAAATGATTTTTATGCAACCAATGTTCTAAAATACAGAGAATATCAAATGAGTTTTCATACAAAAATTAATCTAACTCATCATTTTTTTTAGCTAAGCTTTGGACATTACCAAGAATAGAAAAGGAGTGCCTACTAATTTTGCTTTCTTGGAACCGTGGAAATTCGGGATCTTCTCGACGGAAAAAATCAGTTCACTAAAATATCCTTCGGCCAGATTTCTTGATTTCATCTTCATCTTCATCTTCATCTAGTGGTTGGTCCTTTAAAAAGTCCCATAGCACTGCGGCCTAATTAGGCCTATTGTACGTCCCACTACTAGTCCTATTCAGCAAGTAGATTTGTCCTTTTTACAAAGTCCAAAAGCTTCCTTGCTGACACTTCTCTCAATTCCTTGGGTTCCAAATAGGGTCTCCCAAGGAGNTTACATATATCTCTGCTATGCATAGTACTGGCATCAAGGTCCAAGTTTATATCTCCCAGTATTATTATATGTCTATATTTGCATAACAAACAATCTATAAGTTTTTCAAAGCAGCGTTTAAACAAAATTATATCCCCTGACGTAGATGATCTGTATAGACTTACGATTACAGTATTTTTATTGACAATCTCCGCAGCACAAAACTCTGCATGAACAGAGAGGCAAAAGTCTTCAACATTTACAGATTTAAGAAAAACATTGGAATTGGAAAAAATTGCCACTCCACCATGTTGGTTCTTATTAGGACGACAATAACAGGAGATTAGTTCATATTTTTTTATGTTGATACTTGATAAATGATTTTTATGCAACCAATGTTCTGAAATACAGAGAATATCAAATGAGTTTTCATATAAAAATAAATCTAACTCATCAATTTTATTAACTAAACTTTGGACATTAATACCAAGAATAGAAAAGGAGTGCCTACTAATTTTGCTTTCTTGGAACCGTGGAAATTCGGGATCTTCTCGACGGAAAAAACCAGTTCACTAAAATATCCTTCGGCCAGATTTCTTGATTCAGGATGAGTTGAGCTTCAGACGTAGGTACAGATACTTTAAAAGATGAGTAATTGCTGGGGCTCCTTGATGATAACCCCATAACTTTCACTCCAGGTAAAAATTGTTTTAAGTAATCCACAAGGATATTTTCAGTAACTGATGGATCAAGGTTTGTTACGGGCAAATGTCGAAGAGCAACGGCTAGAGCTGCCGCTTTCAGAGGATAGTTTTCAGTGTCAGACAAATTGCCTACTAAAATACTTCTTGATTTAGGTTTCGGCGTACTTCCTTTTAAGCGAGTAGGATCATCTCTATTATCTTCAACATCATTAGTCAAATTTATAATATTTTCGCACACACGATTGGCAAGAACATTATGTACTGCTCCTGAAACGGACGAACCCGTGATGGCAGGAACCGCATTATTTACTACCCGAATATTATTATTAGGAGGTTTCTGCTTTTTATTGGTAGCATTAACGGACGGTTTCTTCGTTTTAGTCCCTGTATTGGGATGTACGGAATCAGTAATTTGCGTAGACGATGCAGGTTCTTTAAGATTGAGATTAGAAGAATTCTCAAAGCCTTTTATATAATTTATGAGAACTATTTTGTCATTTAAAGCTTCTATAGCAATATTCTGATAACATCCCCAAGTTCATTCATAGCAAGTGTAAACAAAATCAGAGGAAGATAGATCATTATAAAAAATGTAAAAAATTTGCCTTATTTGAAAATAAATTATTTTTTCCAATAGTTCAAAATATACGTATTATTTTTTTATTTGTTCATTATTCTATTAAATTACACTTCTTGAAAAAGTTAACGATAAAAATGATATTACGAAAATAATTTGAATTTTATAAAGAATTCTGAATTTCAGATATTTAACAAAACAGAGGCCACTTAAATTCCTCATATTAAATTATCACTATATGATTTGTTAATTTTATTTGCTGTATCGATTTTCAATAACGAGAGTTAATAATTTTTGCAGTTATAACAAAACTCTTTATTTTTCCGTGGTACTTTAGTTCCATTATCATTTAGCGCAGGAGGCGCCTGTTGATGTAAAGCGGATTTGCATTGATATATGAAAACAAACGAAGACATATCGTTGGGATCATAGTTAATGATGTTTCAATCGTATTAGAATTCGCTAAAGGCTTTACAGCACCACGGGAGTTGTTGTCCTGAAAACCACCCCATGCTGAGTTGACGTTTGCAGGGATTTGAAAGTGAAGTATATAAACCTTATACGATCCTGGAGATTTCACTGTTCAGCTCAGTCAGGTTCCGGTAAACAATGGCAAAAGTTACCCTTCTTTCGTTTATGGTATTCCTTACTTTGGCGCTGTATTTTAATGGGGTACTAACGGCAAACAGCGATGAATTGATTGATGCTAAGCGAAGAGACGGTGAAAAGAAATATTCCCCTCTTTGGTTTGGACCAAGAATTGGAAGAAGGAAACGCAATCCAACTGAAAATATTTTCAAAACTTTAGATAGAGAAGATTTGGACGCATACGCTCTGAAAAATCCATGGCCTCTTATGACCTTCAATAATGGTGAGATTATTTTCTATAAAAGACCAATTTCTAAACTTTACATTCCATTATTCAATCAGTTTTTTTCTTTATCCTGACAATTTAACTACTATTTCATAAAACTGAATAAAAAATACCTGCTCATATGTAATTTGTGCTGCCTATATGTGGAATAACATAAAGTATCATACTTCATAGTTTTTATGTATTTTGATAAGTTTATGAGGTGGTTACTATTATTTTGCAATAAAAGGTTTTAATTATTACTTATTTACTATTTCAGATATAAAAGTAGTTTTAAAATTACAATTTAATATTAAGTTTAATTAAGTTATTGCAGTTTAAATCTAATGAATTAATGAATATAATGTTCAATAGACAGAGTGACATGTCATTTTTATTGTCTTATTTTCAAAATTATTACACAAAAATATCAAGTCTACGGTTAGTTCAGAGCTCAAATCACTTGTAGTTCGATATATCAAAAGAGATTGTATTTTTTTAGCATGATCCAAAAAGACCTTCGTCAGTAGGGCACGAATGAACAAAAATGTACGTATTTGTAGGTATAGATAACTTTTTTTATTCAAAGAGAAAATTAGAAGCACCACAATTTTTAATCGGCACTAGGCGAATAAATAATACTTATTTAATAAAATGTGACATGCTCCTAACAAATTCTGAGCACAGTTATAATTGTTGTACTTTTCAAATTAGACGATGTTGAAAAAATGTATGCCATCTCAGCGAAATCTCCCGTGCATAAAAAATTTATCAATTTTGATTTGTGGGTTTGTGCAATTTACAGTTATCATATACAGAGTGTTTATTAAGCACTTGTACAAACCTTGTCTAATTTTAAGATAAAAAGTTCATATAAACATGGGTCGACAACGGTTTTGTTCTTGAGATACAGGGCATTCTAAAAAATTTTTTTGTTTGGTCATTTTCATTGTAAATGTTTATTTACAATGAATGTAAAAATAAAATATAAAATTTATAATAATATAAAAAAAAATATGTTAAAAATCAAAATTTATTACATTTTTAAACGGTTCTGTAAACTCTAAAGCATACTACAAAAAAATGTATATTTGTCGAAATTCGGTAGCATGTACTTACCATTTTCGAGAAAAATTAAGTTGCATTTTTTTTGCTCATATAAAGCGGCATAACAAAATATTAAATTGAAAGAGGACTTTACCATTGAATGGGTTGAAGACATTTAGCTACCAACAGTATTTGCATTTAAGACTATAATTTTAATTTCTTACGAATCACATTAAACAGTTAAATTGTAAAACATATTATTAATTAAAAAAAAACTAAATTTATTTTGAGTTTTAGATTGTTGTAAACTAACATTTAAAAAAGTAAATCAAAATCAGGAAACGCCATATTTCCTTTCAACACCACAATTCATAGTTTTTATATTGTCTTTTATTTTCTAATACTTAATTTGTCGTTAATTTTACAGTACCTTATAGAATAATACACTAGAACAATCATTTATTTACACAACACAATAAATCACGTAAAACGACGCCAATGCTCAACGCGCGGGATAACAAACGACAAACAGGTTCATAAAATGGCTAAAATGCTTTTGTAACTACGCCACTTTGTGCCCATACCAAAAGTGGGGGGTGCCTGCACCGATCTGCGCGAATACCCCCACCACGCCAACTTATAATTCTGGTTGTTTTATCTTCTGTGGTATAACCCTGTATGTGGCGCCCTCTAACATTAAATAAAACTTAAGTAAATATTTGAGTTTCTCATCATCGATACTAGCAGCCTCCCGAATTTCGTCAAATGGCCATGTTATTGAACAAAAATATAATCAAAATACCAAACAAAAATTCAGCCTTTAAAGTTTATACAAGTACTTAATAAACACCCTCTATAATTCCCCTATGGAATTATCAAATAATGTCTAACTTTGAGGATTTTATAAAAATTAAACAATTAGTTGCTGTTGATTAAAACCCGCAATAAATATTGAAGTATCATTTGTCAGACGAATTTAATTTTCATCAGTTTTGTTAAATTGTTATAATTCCTGTTTTCGTCTACATTTTCTATTTTCTATAATCATTTTCATCTGTATTACTAAATAATGATTTCCTGCTGCAGGTAAAAGACAAATGGACTTTACACCTAGATTAGGACGGGACTCTATGGAAGACCAAGAAGAAAGACCAGACTACGAAGAATTCACACATAAACCTTTGCCACCACGTGTCGGACGACGATATTCACCATACTCGCCAAGATTAGGAAGGGAAAATGAAATTTTACTTCAGTAATAATAATGGTTAATGTTTTGTATCCTGAAACTTAATCGAATAAAATTTTGAAATCAACAAGCATTTGAATAAGAGTTTTCAATAAGTACCCTAATTTTCATTTTTTTTTAAATATATACTTATTAGTATATATACTAGTTATACTTAGACATCAATTTTAGTATTGATTTTTTATTATTATTTACCACTAGCTGTTTTGCTGATATAATTCAATGTTATATTAGTTGGACATACAGCCGGTTAGAGTACCTAGTTGTTTCCCGCAATATCAGCAGTTAGGAATTTTATCTGTAGTGTTAGATATCTTTTGCATAACTAGATTTCTAGTATCCACGTACATTGTTTGACTTCATTCAATAAGATCTTCTAGATAAAATTTTTGAATCTGTTTGAATTAGCTAAATATCTTTAAAATAAAGTAAAAATATACATATCTATAGGCTGAAAATAAACTAAGATTTAGTAAAATTTTTACTCTCAGTATACCTTCCTTAAAAAAATTATCTGACTTATTTTTTTTTAAGATAACTTCGTTTCTTATAAAGATTTCAATTAAATTTTAAATTTTACATGAGGTGGTTTTTGGGATAACTGAGCTATTTACCTGATTTTTATCTAAAACCTAGCGATCGCTAAGAACGTTTTTTGTTTTTTTTTATATTTTGTTTGTAGAGATTTAGAAAAAATCATCAGTTTTAAAATACAGTCGCAAACTAAAATCTGAAATTATTTAAGCAAATAGTTTTTTATGAATATTATATTTAGGTAACTAAAATTGCTGCTCGAGTCCAATGAAAACCCAATATAAGAAGCTATTAGATTATCGATTGCAATAATCTCACGGAATAATGTTTTTTCCTCATTCCAGTGGAGGCAGTCCAGGATTTTTTTTATCTAAAAAGAATTGCTATGGTGTTTTTGGTTAAAATATAAATTACCATTTTAAGAAATATGAAAAAAATACTTTTGTTCGATAATTTGCACCGTTGCGTTGTTAAAAATATTTGTGTAAAACATTATTTACTTTACGGTGATATGGATGTATTCGAATTTTCGAATACAAATAAAAATATATATATCTTAAGAAAATTGGTAGTGAAATCCTCCCGTATTGAAACTAGCGACAACTAATAAAAAAATTGATAATTTTGGGATAGAATAGATTTTAGCACCAATATAAGTTTTATACATATACAGGGTGGTCCGAATTTTATGCAGGAAACTTCGAGGGCAGATAGATATCTTTAAAATAAAGTAAAAATATACATATCTATAGGCTGAAAATAAACTAAGATTTAGTAAAATTTTTACTCTCAGTATACCTTCCTTAAAAAAATTATCTGACTTATTTTTTTTTAAGATAACTTCGTTTCTTATAAAGATTTCAATTAAATTTTAAATTTTACATGAGGTGGTTTTTGGGATAACTGAGCTATTTACCTGATTTTTATCTAAAACCTAGCGATCGCTAAGAACGTTTTTTGTTTTTTTTTTTTATATTTTGTTTGTAGAGATTTAGAAAAAATCATCAGTTTTAAAATACAGTCGCAAACTAAAATCTGAAATTATTTAAGCAAATAGTTTTTTATGAATATTATATTTAGGTAACTAAAATTGCTGCTCGAGTCCAATGAAAACCCAATATAAGAAGCTATTAGATTATCGATTGCAATAATCTCACGGAATAATGTTTTTTCCTCATTCCAGTGGAGGCAGTCCAGGATTTTTTTTATCTAAAAAGAATTGCAATGGTGTTTTTGGTTAAAATATAAATTACCATTTTAAGAAATATGAAAAAAATACTTTTGTTCGATAATTTGCACCGTTGCGTTGTTAAAAATATTTGTGTAAAACATTATTTACTTTACGGTGATATGGATGTATTCGAATTTTCGAATACAAATAAAAATATATATATCTTAAGAAAATTGGTAGTGAAATCCTCCCGTATTGAAACTAGCGACAACTAATAAAAAAATTGATAATTTTGGGATAGAATAGATTTTAGCACCAATATAAGTTTTATACATATACAGGGTGGTCCGAATTTTATGCAGGAAACTTCGAGGGCAGATAGATATCTTTAAAATAATATGCGTCGTTTGCCTTATAAACATAGGTCTGCAACGGCACCGTTTTAGAGATACAGGGTGTTGAAGTTGTAAAAAAAAATATTTTTTGTTTATATCTCCGGAATACAGGATGCATCTTAAGTGATGACTTTAATTTCAAGAGGTGATTCCTTGTCATATTTTAAGCAAAAAAGTGCATATGAACATCGGTCCGCAAGTGTTTCGTTACCGAGATACAGGGTGTCAAAGTTGGGAAAATAAATCGCATTTTCTTAAATATCTTTCGACTGATTCGAAATAATTTAATGAAATTTCATACACGGGGGTTTTTTGGAATGACAAATTCAAAGCTGTGGTCAATTTAGGTGTATTTTTTTGAGGGCGCCAATAATGAAGTAGCTAGGAGCAACCGTTTCCATGAAAAACGCATTTAAACTTACTTGAGCTGGAAATATCATAAAAATTGAATTAAATCAAATGCTCAAAATGAGAACCGCCACTGTCAATACAAGCATGTAATCTTCTGCTCATCGACTGTCGCACACGTTCCAAAATTCCTGGAGTGTTGCGTATGACATTACAAGAATTTACAATTCTGTTTCTTAAATCATTTTCATCTACAACTGGCGTTGCATAAACAAGCGACTTCAGATGTCCCCAAAAGAAATAGTCCAGAGGATTTAGGTCTGGAGATCGTGCTGGCCACGGCTGAGGTCCTCCCCGACCTATCCATCGCTGAGCAAAAGTGTCATTAAGATGTTGGCGAGCAGCAAGACTGAAATGAGCAGGTGCCCCGTCGTGCATAAACCACATGTCATTTCTGGTTGCTAGTAGTACATCTTCTAACAGACCAGGCAATGTTTCAGCTAGAAACTGTCTGTAAGTCTCACCATTCAGTCGAGGAGGAAGAAAATGCGGTCCGATGACATGATCAC